CGAACTCCGAAAAAGTTCGACGGCTCAATGCTCGCCTAGTCGGGCGTTGGCGATGCGAAATTTGAATTTCGAACTCTCTCCGAGCTCTTGTGAAATTGAAAAATTCGTTTCAATTTAAGATTCGAAAATGGAACACGTTTAATGCGACAGTCGAATTAATCTGAAAATGGGATCAATGCTTCTTGTAGATCTAATACCCTTATAATATTTATAGTACAATAAAACTCTTATTTATTATTAATTTATTTTTTATGCGATAACTCCTTTTAAACTTATTATATTTTGTATTGTATAATTAAGTTTAATAAATTAATAATTATGGCGTGTTTACATTAAACAATTAAGTAATGTTATGAAGCCAGACGTCCGTCGATATCTGAACTAAGTGTTGTGTCCATAAATATTGATAAGTAAAAATAAATATGAGAAAAGGAATTATGATATAACATTGACGTCTAGGGCCACATACAACAAATATTTATATAGTAACAATAAACTAAGATCACTTTAATTAAAACTAATTTGGCCGCGACTTCGTCTACACTCGTTTGTACAGTTTTTAGTGATCTAATTCGAAAAATACTAAGTGAGAGTTATTGTCTTGTTAACAAAAGATTTTGGCTATAAGTTGTGTTCTTGCCAAGTTTCATTAAGATTTATAGGCTCATTTTCATGGAAATAGGTAACAAACACACTATTTATTACTTATATTATTTATTTAAAGCACACTATACACGACACAGAAAGAATTAAGACGTGACATAAGCTAAGGTCTTATTGCTAATCAGCAATCTCTTCTTGGCAATTCGAATAAAATATTATAATTGGTTAACTGGTTTCCAATGTGCGCAAAGCTGAAAAAGGTATTTATTCTCGTGTATTAGATATTTTCTGTCACTGACATAGGCATAGACAGATAATAATCATTTTTTAATTATACAAAAAATAATAATAATAATCAAGAATAAATGAAAATAGCTATGATAATAAATTGAATATTGTTGATTTTAACATGATCTTTTACGTATATTTTTTTCGAGATATATCATAAACACCTAGTGGCATAAACGTCAACTAAAATTGGTATAAGTTTAAAGCGACATTACCTACTGATGTATTTTAAATTAAGAACATTCATTAGAGCTTACACCTTAAAGGTCATTTGTACAACTGGGTGGAAGTCATGTGTTAGTCCTGTTATTATATATTATTGTATTTTGTGTCTGTTAACTATGGTATAATTATTTTATTGTTATCTATTTTTCGGACATTACTTGTTATCTATGAAAACTTAGTTATAAGTGAAAGGTTAACTTCATTATACTAGTAATTTCATTTTATGTTGTGTGTGTGTAAAGACAATCATTTGCGTAAAATGGCTTATGCAAAAATTTTATCACATATTTATCTACAGTTAAAGCAATTTTTTACATAATTACCGTATATATTCATAGATGGAATGACAAATGATTGACAAGATGTAAAAAAAATAATATACATGAAAAATTGTCGTTGGGCTACGAAAGGTCAAATAAAGTCAATCTGTTCGCTGTTGGCAGTTCATAGTTCGTTGGACGCAGCTGACACTAAATTTAAAATTCGAATGCTGAAAATTGGAATTTCGAACTTCAAATTCTTCCTGGTTCTTCAAGTTGCTTTTATAGGTAGGGTTGTAACAACCATTTTTTAACCGTATCAAAATTTTAATAATTCATTAAATTATTGCTTTTAAAGGAAACTTAAAAAGAGGTTTGACGTCAACGCGTTTGCTCGAAATAATCCTTCGCAAAATGCATTCGCGAGACAATCAAGTGCGATTATAAAAAGACACGTCATGTTTTTAAAAATACTATTGTGCAATTGTATTACTAATAAACAGGTTCAACGACATGTCGTTGTCGTCCAAATGTGTCGTTCACGTTTCTGTCGACTTATTATACGTTTACGTAAAATTACGCCTAAAAATTAAAATTTTCATGGTCATTGTTTATGGATGCACCATTCAAGGATTTAAAGCGAATCCCTTATAATATCAATTGATGCAATTCTTCTGAGGTTCTTACGAAAAGAAAATTTTGAATATTCAAAAAAAAGTTTACATTTTTAAGAGCTATGGGTGTTACGTGTGGTTGACATATTGTAAGCAGCACACAACTTTGTAAACATCAAATCATATTGGTGCTCTTCTCTAACCCGTCTTGTCTTCCAAAAATGAAAATTTTAATAAAGAGTATATCGTATTTTATATCATATAATTTATCGAATTTTTAACAAATCATAAAAAAACAATTAGGTATTTGGAATTCCTCGGAATGGAGGTGTAATTCTTGTGACATGAGCTTAGTTTTAAATTTAACAAATAATATAATAGTAAAAACAGTTTCTTAAATATACAAGTAGTATAAAGTTAATTCTAGTGACATTATTAAAATAATACGATAAAAAAAATAAGTTTGCTTGTACAAGGCATCTGCTGCCAAACTAAGGTGGTTATCACCCTGTCATCTGGCAAGACAGCGCAACTTCCCCAATTGGACCTATTAAAGATAATATTATTACTTACAAAGTTACAATTTTTATTAATGTTTTTATATTAAATAATTTTTTTTAATTATTAAATGGAAAACTGTTATTTTAGTTGATCTGATGACGTTTCCTTTCGTAGTTATTAAGAAACTAGTAAGAGTCATGAACAGTCTTTGATATGCACTAAAGATATAAATCAATTTATTAACAATTAATATAATTTAAATGTTTCGACCTATCTTACAAATTGAGATATGCATTATTCTAAGTATTCGAGAATGGATCGTTAATTGTATATGTGTCGTTTTAGACATTTGAAAATGGAACGCTGGGAACGTTTCAGTGAGTGACTGTTGCGTTCCGGTTATCGAATAACGCATTTACAAAATTTATTTGTTATTTACAGAATTTTTTAATGTATTTAAATTCAAAAAGAAATTTTCCGGTATTTCATACACTATGATAGCTATAAACTCTCTTTTAAACAGAACATTGTCTAAAATATTAATTTACCAACGACTGGTATGAACACTATTAGGCAATATTAGCTTTACTGAAGCTGTAGTAATACATACTGCCAGATTTATTCCATTTCGTTTTAAACACGCGTTGGTTTTTTGTATTGCTTATTTATTAATTGCATTCATTTTACTATATTCAATTTAAAAATTATGATACAAAACCTATGTTTAAATACTATCACACGTGATAAGATAAGAGTAAGAAGTTAAATAAAATCAGTTAAAAACTGAAATTAATTCAGCAGTCATCATTCAAGTGTATTCAGATTCAACACAAAGATAGGAAGTGTCAGCAGAGCAAGATGTTTAACTGAAAAAGTCAATATAGGATATGAAATAAATGTTGGTTTTCGAAGTTAGCTATTCTGCAATATCATTCCAAATTTGAATTTAACATTAATACACACTTACACTTTCTTATCATTATGGGGATTTTAAAGTTTTATTGAAATATGTTTCTTTAATGGTTTTTGGATATTATTATTGTAAGTAATCATGTGTACTTTATTTTTTAATTTCAAAGTATGAAGTACTTTTATAGGATATTAAACACGATATGTAATACAAATTCCATTCATAGCAATGAACTGGAGACTGTAAGGATGATATCGCTGAGTGTAACGCTGTTGTATCGAAATTAATTCTTGTGTTATCGCGTTAAGATCGGTTATGCTATGAGAGTGTTGTGTAATCGTGTGTTGTAGACAGTACGTCGCACGTGGTCCCGAATCGATAGGTCGTTCGCTTAGAGAGAGATGACTGTGTGACGTCACGGTCTCACTCACCCACAAGGTCGCCGCCTTCCCACATAGGTTATTTACTCTTATTTCCTATACCCTGGTAAAATTTTTGGGAAACCCCTCGCAATAGACTGAAAAGATAGAGTAGTTTAGCAACCTCATTTTGGAATATACCTTCTGCAATTGACGTGTAGTTTTTAGTAAGTTTAATAATATAATTTTTCCTATTAATTTAAATTTAAAATAGGAATTTCTTTAATTTAAATATTATATGATTTATAAAGAAATAGTAGTGCGCTAAATTATTTTCTTTCTTTCTAGACATACGATAAGTAACGTAAATTATACACTCAACAGAAAATAAAAAATAGACACTAAGATATAACACAATACATTGATGACGTTTTGTCTTATATGTTGACAACCCTGAAATACGTTATATCGAAAAATAGAACTGACGCGACAATTCAGAACATTCCATTTTTAAGAATAACCTGTGTAAATACAGGATCTCATATATTTATATCATTTGTTGTTGCTTTTTTATTTAGTGTCGCAAAGGTAGTAAATGAGTAATAGCCCATTTAATTCCAGCCTGTGGAAATAAATAAACTTGCAAACTATTCGCAATTGACAACATATTTTCCGGGGTCAATGACATTCAGAAGCCCATAACCGAGAAGAGCGTGCGGCAAATAACAGACTTTAAAAAAATATATTATTTGAATATTGAATACCATATTCGAATGCCGAGAAAAATATTCGGATTTCGAAAATTTGAATCCTTAAAAATTCGCGCGCGAAGAGTATCGCTCGCCGATCCGACTCAAAACTAGAGTTCAACAGCATTTCACCGAAATCTACTTTGTTTGGGTCCCGGGGTCAATGAACCAGTATGACGCCGACTTGTCTGTGTGCTGTTATAAGAGGAGTACGAGACATTGCCGCACGCACACACTCACACCGGCGAAGTATTGAGACAATTTTGTTTCTTAATTACTCAATAACCTTACACATTAGCAACCTCAAATTTTGTATTTGTCCCATTAAAAAGGTCATCTTTGATATGGCATACAAAAAAATTCTTAATAAACGCATTTGAAGGATTTTGCCCGTGGGTCGGGGCAACTGAACTATCACTATGAGTTGATTATACGGCCGGAGTGAAAAAATATATAATTTTTTCGTGAGCCCCGAAGATTCGTCAATGCGTCAGTCACGATCGGACCGCTTTAACGTTAACAGCTCAGTTTACGTCGTGTTGCCGAGTTGTGCACAACCCATAGTACAAAATTAACGTACAAATTTTTACAGCAGTGAGGTGTAACAAAACAGTGACAGTGCCTTGAAAGTGCAGTGACATACAAACGGAACGTAGTGGCTAATGATTTAAAAATATAATAATTGTGATCCACGTAAATTCGGACAAGATTTTAGATAGCTGAACGGGGGAGTTCGGTTAACTAAAATCGTTTACTTTTACAAATCGATTTGTCACCGTGATTCTCCTTTCGAATTTCAAATATGGAAACGTTAACATAAAATTTTCTTCTGCTTTTGTTTTGTTTTTTACAGCAAAATTGTGTTATTTTATGATTTTACAACAAAACAGTTTACGGGAACAAGTGAAATATAATAACTACAATATATACAGTGCCTTACTTAAAAGTTTTAAAAGAGAAAAAGGAGAAAAATAATAAATTAATCACGGAAGCAAAATGCGAAACAATTTGTTGTTGTTCAAAAAACTAATACCGGAAATAAATTTTGCCAAAAGAAATCTCACTTCACCGCTCGGCCGGAATATATACATTAGTTAAAAAAGACTGGTGCTTTCAACCATATTGACTAAAATCGGGTGCCATAACATTTTTAAAAAATTTTATGGTCACGAACATAACCCGAGAAATAGTTGCCTTACCGACATAGTCGTAAAACAACAAATTCAAGAAATAAATAATAAAAAAAAAACAAAAAGAAACACCAAAACGTTCAGTGATATTAGCGATAATGCGAATTGGATTCGCGCAAAGGAATCATTTCACCACTTAAACAAAATAAAATAAAACTTTTTATAAACAAAACATTTTTAAAATTGGAACTATGAATAATAGTCAATTCCATGAGCTGTTCGGATCTCAATGGCCACCGGATCAGCACGGCGGACACTCATCCGCCACCACGATGCTGCACCAAAACCACCAAGGGCAGGGCATGCCCCAAGGCATGCAGTTGAAGAGAGAACCAGAAGTCCAAGGAGTGATGCACAATCAAATGGGCATGGACATCACGTCGGGATCCGTTGCTGATAGCACATCCCCCCCTCCCGGTAGCAGTGAAGGGATGTTCGGTTCTTCTATATCCGGCATGTTTATGGACAAGAAAGCTGTCAACTCTATAAGAGGTATTTTTCAAAATTGGAATATGTTATTTTTTTTTTATATTTTACGATGTGTTCGGTATAAGACCTCTTAATACAGAAGTCTATTCGAATTATTTTTTCAAAAGTTTAATGACATTTTGGTTAAAATGTTTCAAAGTTACTTTCGAATATGTCAAATCTCCATGCGGAAATACATAGTGCCGAAAAACGAATACTACGCGACTATAATATGCTAGGACTGCTACGAAACCGTAGCATACTCAAATCTCGAATCGATGCCGACTACACCGACTCGTAACAAATTGCATTTATTTCTATGTTTCAAATATTTGCAATTCCCGTGAACTGACCCCAATATAAATCAAGGAAACATTTTATCTCGTTCGTGTCCTAATTTGTGATGACGTTAGTACTTTTCGTAGTACTATAAATCATTAAATATAGTAAGATGGGTAGCTAAGTTTTAAATAACAACTAGAAAGATTATTACGTAATCAACAAAAAAAGAAATATATAAATAAATTTATAGTTTTCTTAAACATTAAATTTTAGAACATTTAACCGACTGATTTGTTTCTTTTTTACACAGTAGTTCTAAAATTTAAATTTGGAACATTTTTTTGTCGTTCTATTTTATCTCAAACGCTTCAAATGAAACGGTTTTATGTACCGCAAGTACGGTTCCGTGGGATCTTAATATGCCGATGTACCGGTACAATGTGTATAATAATCAATTCCCATAGTTTTTACTTGGTATTATGAGGTTTGACCTAGTTTGAACGACATGAGAACTTTTACTTATAAAGTCTCAATAAAAAAGAAAAGAAGAAGATTTTAAATTCACATCATCTTTAAGAATGCTTTTAAAAATATTTAATAATATTTGAACTTTTAAAAGTAAAAGTAAATTTGATAAAATATACTTTTACACGGAATTTTTAATTAAGTATCTTTAAATAAATAGCAAGCTGATTTTTTTTTTATTTTGTAAATAAATAGTCCATTAATAATTGAGAAATAATATAGAAGTAACATCATGTCTGCGATTAATAGGTTCGGAGATACGGTGCCAGGTTTGTGGAACGAAAACGCTCCCTACAAATTCGAGGTACTACGTGACGTCACACAGTGCAACGATAGCGAAAAACTATGGGCGTCTGAGCAATCTTTGTTATTTGTGCGTTTTTGTAATACTTTTTCCTATTTTTTTTTTCAAGTTTTCAAAGTTATATTTTCGAAAGTAATATCATAAAATTTATTTTGTTAAATATTCATAAGTTGAAATGGCTCATATTTTCTGTAAAAATCTGTATTTTCACTTGTAGGACATAAACCTATTATGATTTAAATATGGTTTGTATGCCTTTTTTAAAGTCGCTTATCACTATTCCTAGAAAAGTCATCGTCAGTAATAAAGTCGGTACTAAAATCTTCATAAATAATATAAAACAATTGTTATAATTTAACTGCGGACATACCTGCCCCGAATAATGAACCACTTATCATTCAATAAATATTACTATCGTTCCGTGAATTATTCAAACATACAAAGTTCATTGATCACGTAATAAGTATGATTTATATCTGTTTTATACATTAATTAAATTGAAGCAAACAAGAACAAGATCAAACAAAATTTCGCTTTATAAAATGCACACGCATTCTGATAGCATCTTATATTTTGAATTCGGAATTCGAGTTATGATAAAAAAAAGCTCAATAAGATATTCATATTTCTTATTTAAAAATTTAATTTAAAAATAGAACTGCTCATGACCTATAAGCAATGTTGGACGTTTTTCCAAAGATTTTTCCTAGTATCCTTGACTTACTCATATGTGCGTCATGCGTCCCTAAAACTAAATTATTTATTTACTATTAGCACGAATTATCTATGTGCCCAATTGAATTTAAATGTTTGTGTCCCAAATGATAATTTTCCACTATTAACCTGAGTTCTTTTCTTTGTTCAAAATTAGTGTTAATTGTTTGAAAATTTGGGTTAAAAACGGCTAATTACAAGAGTAGTTTATTTAATAAACATACGTTCATAAGTATATCCTGCATCTTGTATTTTTTACCTAATACTAACGCCAGACCAGCCCACACTATTACCCTAGTTTATGAATCACAATCAGTAATCGTCATTATTTTTTGAGGTTGATTAATTAAAAAATATGTTTGTAAAGTTATAAAAATAATACTAAACTATTGGTATATATGAAACAACACATTGTATGATTACTATAATGTCAAATTTAAATAATAAAAGAAGTTTGTACTTATGACGGCGTAGAGTGAAGAAGCCAAAAATACGAATCGAATATCTAAATTTTGTATCGTAGAAGATCGAAATCTGCTTTATGAGTACATAATAATATAATCGTTTGAACTGTTTAACATAATTATTACGAATTATCTGAAAAGGATTTATTATTCTAAAACAAAAACTAATTTTGAAATTTGAACATGAATTTAAATGTGTACTAACATTAATATTATTATTAAGGTCAAAAGTAGCAAAAAGGTTACAATACCAAATTCTTTATTATAAAAAAACCGTTGTCACCTATTTCAATTAGGAATACTCGAGTTTAAACGAATAATATTGACTCCTTCTATTTCGTGGATTTTATTACATACGTAGGTACTTCCTTCAGTAATTTGATAGCAAGAAGTTTGTTTATCATTCTTTCAATTGTAAATAACTTGATTAGGAACTTTATTTTAATGATGTTACAGTTGCTTTAACGTTGCATCGAGAATGCACTTATTACGTTTTACAATGGCATGTACAATCCACGTGTCTTTTAGGAAGGGGTCATTGCACTTGACATACATGCACTATGACTTCTGTATAGGGCTTTTTTCTACCAAGCGAGTTACTTTGTGTTGTTAAAACCTTTCTTAGTGTAAGTGACGTAAATAACAATGATCTTACGTTTTTTAAAAAAAGAAGAAATACTACTGTTTCTAAATTATAAAATATTAAATTAAATTTTGATAGCCCATTAAAACAGTTATTTACTATACAGTATATAAAGACCTCTTAAATTAAGCTATTTATCAAAATATTATTTCCAACGCCTGCGCTAAATAAGCTTGTCATATAAATTTTCGGGAGTCATCCGTCGGGCAATAAGTAAATTGGTTGCGGGTTCAAGGCTAGTTTTTGTTAATTTAATGATACATTCACCTTGGTGAGGTGTTACTGGAATGTAGCCACTAAAATTTTACATCATATCACACTTTCGTCTTAAAAATCGATGTTATACCAATCAAATAGACAAACACTGAAACAAATTGAGTATAATATTAATTATTTCGACAAATGAACGTTGTTGTAAATTTAAAAATCGAGTGTTACACTCGTGCACAGGTCGGCGAACCCTAACGTCATTGTGTCGTGACGTCATGTAGCTGTCACTTTTATTCTAGAGCGCTCCAAATTAACCGCCGATTGACAATTTGGAACTTAGTTAAGTGGCATGTTTTATTTTAACACTCTTGAACACTTAACTCGTTGGGTCTTGAATCTTGAATCGCGTATATTTAAGAGGTGGAAGGATTTATTTAACATTTTTATCGGTATTCTTTTTAAATGGTAAAAGTCTTTTCAGCAGCAGTTGATTGGTAACAAATTTTATAAGAATAAGAAAAAATAAAATTGTAACTTAGATTAATGTTGTTTGAGAATTATCACATCGTCATCACCAGCCAGTAGGCTGGTAGTAGTCTGGTGACATTAAGTAGACATTAGTAAGTATCCCCGCGGGCCTTTTCAGAATGGAGAGTCCACTGTGTATTAGTCAATATTAACGACTGCATATACAGCTCGGTCCAATGGCTTGGCGTGCCCGCCGAAACACGAATGAGCTGGAGATAAAAAAAATCTGGTCACCCATCCTAAAGCCAGCCCTTGCTAAACTTGCTTGACTTCCGCATTGCATTCCGCATTACCGAAAGCGCTCACGATGGCGCCAGCGATCTCCTCCCCTTGACGTTAAGAATAAAATTCATAAATGGAATCGAACATAAATGATTTATTAAACGCTGTTTACCAGACTATGCCGATGGAACGATAAAGGCGCATTCGAATTTTGCAATCGGCCATTTGCTTATCAAGGTCGTTGACCTTATGATGTCATGGCTCGTCACATGTTGTACTATACGATGTTACCCGATAATGAAGTGACGATATCTCGTATTTCCTTGACCGATAGGACGGCCATGTTTTATTTTTGGCATTTGTTTAATAACAAGTTTGGTAGTAGCACGTGTTTTTTTATTATTTATAATTGGAACTAAAATCTGTCTAACATGACCTTCTCCGTTCGAGTTATACTGTTTCTTTTATTATTTTATCGCATCGATAATAATCTTATCAAAGAAAGTCAATGCAATTTACGAATGTAAAACCTTTACCTCGGGTTAAAAGAGTTGTACAATATTAATTTTCGTGTTGCAACTTGCGACAAATTACTCTATGTTCACAGACACAGATATCATTACATATCATTTGAAATGGTTCTTTTTTAAATTCCAATGCAAAGATTAAATATGGCATAGTAAATACAGTACACTTGGTTAAATTTAAAACGAAAATGACGAAGTAATTTTTTACATTAAATCTCCGTTTAGAAATCGCGAATAGCTTGTAAATGTCATTTTAAAATACGTAAACATAAGCATTACAATGTGCAAAGTTCTATGACCTTAAAATTGTGATCTCTCGCCAACTACATTTAATCCAATTAATGAGTGTAAACAGCATTTGGTATTTACCTTATCATATTGATCACTTACTTCCTTGTTTAAATAGAAAATATTAAAACAATAAAAATATTTCTATTTAAAAAATGACATATTTTTAAAATTTTGCAAGTATTATGTGTAAGCAGGTATTAATCAAAACTTGAATAAATTTGAACGTGGAAAAACACGTATTTAATAAAAATAAAAAAATGTTTTAAAACTATGTTATCTCTTCCAACTAGATTATTTAAAAATTGAATCTCAATTCTCTGACAGAGCATAAGGTATATAAAAACTATTTCAGGAACGAATCTCATACGAATTTCAATACTGCTCCAACTATTGCGTGCGGTCAGGAAATTAATTGTTAAACGAAATTAAGTTTTGTGTCTACGTGATAACAACTAAGCCTCTAGCGTTAGGTGGTAAACTTATAGTTGTTTATAAGCTTAGTTCGGACAAACGCGGTTGTTCACCCCTGACGTACGCAAGCCGTTAGATCGAAATTCAAATTTCGAACCAACTCACTATGTAGGTATAGGTCGTTGAACTATGACGTATTATGGGCGTGTAATGTATTTAATTACCACTAAATTTATTAATTGTAAATTGATTGTGTTTTTAATTATACAAATAGTTAAAAAAAATATATCTCAGTTTAAAAATATCCAAGAAGATATAGTTTGGGCTTTAATATACTGCGATAACTCTTTAATTTGGCATTTGTAAATTTTTGGCAAAATAAAGCCTAAACGTTCATAAATTGATTTCTTTGGTGATATGGTTTTAGTCATACTTATCAAAAATTTGTTCACGCTTTTCTCTGTTAGTTCCCGTAGCAATTATGGATAAAAATACCTATAGCCGTATCCTTTAATATAAAAATCTGAACTCAACAACTCTGTGGAAAAATAGCATTCCAATAGTGCAAAATTTTTACAATGAGTAGATACTGATGATGAGTAGATAAGACTTTTTCATCAGATACATTTATTTTTTACCTGTACCAACACATTAATGTGTCTGTTGCAGTTTTGAATATCTGAGTGTCTTATTTACAGGTTTGGGTGACGGGACTCTCACTTAAAATTAATTTTATCTAAGAACACAAAAGTGAATAAAATGGCAAATGTAAATATAAATTTCTTTTTCTATTGAAGTATACTATAAGTACTATTTATTAATTATTATGAATTTTTAAAGTACCCGTTGCAGTTGTACATAGAGCGGTATATAAAGGTGCAACAAATCGTCTCTCCACTAGAGTTTTTTAAGCAAAATTAAAAAACTTCAGATTTATTATTGTTTGGACTTTGACATAATTTTGTGATGTTTACTGTAATAAATAAGTTGTAAGCTTCGAATATTTAGGTTATAATGCATTTTTTACAGATAAAGATGTGCCCATCACAAATCTCAAAGAAAGAAGTTCGTTTACAAATTAGCAATATAATTAATATTATGATTTTGAATAATTAATCTATCTTCCAAAAAATATAATCAAAAAAAGAAATTATCCGAGAAGAGCAGTTAATCAAATCATAATGATTATAAACTAACCTGACTCACACAAACACATCGTTACGTAACGGTGAGCGAAATAATTCAAAAACGGAACACGAATTCCAAATTTGAACGGCGCGAGCCTTCTTATGACGTCACGACGGGCGTGATACAATTTTCGAACGATTCCGAGTTCGAAATCCGAACAACGGGTCGACGACCTGTGACGTCACGATCAGCTGGCGAGTGCAACGGGGCAAGTCGGGCTAGTTCGCTGTCCCTTTTTTATGTTTGTCCGCAATCGATGGGTGCACTGTGTCTTGTCTGTTGCGTTTGTTCCGTATTCAAACATGGTTGTGCAACATGTTTCTTTTATCTATTACGAGTATCTTTTAAATTAAGAACGCAAACCGGTTCTTGAAAAGTTGCATTTTACAGAGATAGTTAATTGTTAAATGAATTATAGGATGTAAATAGGTATTGAATTATATAACATAGGTAGTAACAAAAACAGTTTAATTTACTAATTAGTATTAAAGATTTTGTGCTAACTGCTGGTAAAAGGATATTGCTAAACAGCTGACAATGAGGTTTTGCAAGCACGACGTACGGTCATCAAAATGAACGTCCATTGTTACTCAATCGACACTTTGTCACTATGCTATTGTTTTAAGGTTTTTGACGCAAGCTCGTTTTGGAAATTGCACCTTGTTGCATTTCAAATATCCTGTAAATCAACGAGTTCTTTGATAAATCTGTATATTATTTTATTAATATGTTTTGCATGTGCTAGCTGTTTTCCTTCTTCTATTTAAGGGAAATTTTGTTTAAAGGATTAAGTGTTTTTGTCATTGTTACACGTGGAAAACATTAACGAGCTAAATGTATAAACCAATTAGATTGTATTCAATAAATTAAACGACGTAACTCGAAGTTAACAAATGAATTTCTTATCAACAATAGAATATATTTAAATAAAGTAGAGTTCCAATTCTAACAAAAGTCAATTTGGCATAGGTAGTTTTAACTTAAAAAAAAAAAACGAAAATTATATTCGCAAATCGTTCAAAAATTGATATTATTTTACTCGTATTTTCTTATTAAAAGCATGATTCTTATTAATAAAATCTTATTAAGTAAATGATAATCAAAACGTTTTCTTTTTTATTATTGCAAAAAGTTTGCATTACTATTAAAGTGCGCATCACACCTTTTTTGCACTTTGTAGTCGGTTGAAAAGGCGATCCCGTTCTTATCCCACCGGTGTCAGTGTAATGGTGTGATACCACGCACACAGCCGACTAGCAGTCATCGTCCGCGCTGCGACCTTGCCTCGGGGTCGATGAACTCACAGACCGAAACCGCGTTCGAAGCAATTCGAATTTCGAATCTCGGCTTGCCGTTTTATGTGGCGCCTTTTTTGGTTAGAGCTTTTTTCGCGAAAAAGAATGCTATTTAAATCGAAATTTAAGAATATAGAATGGCCATTGTTTTAATTTTGTAACGTTAACCATTGTTTTTTTTATTATATTACAAAATGTATGAGAATAATGATTCTATGAGAATTTTGAACTTTGCTTTTGAGCGGGTGCGTAATTCCAATGCACATTTAAAGTTAAAAATTTAGGTATAAATTATTTCCTTTCTTTTAATAATCATTCTAGAAAAAACAATACATTAGTAATTAATATTCTGACGCAATATAACAAATGATTTTGATATTTCGTTTACATAGAGCAAGATATAAAACTTTTCAAAATTAGTCAAACAACAAAAATATATTTTTCCAATAAATACATAATATTATTCTAATTTTAAAAACGAAGCAATCCTTTTTGGTTATCATAACTTATTGGACTATTCAATAGAATTTAATTCAAAGCTACTAATTTATGAGGACTGAGCTATCCTTTTTAATTTGTTTATGGTCAACATTTTTATTTTTTATTTTCTTTTGTTACAGCCCAAATCGAGATTATACCTTGCAAAGTATGTGGCGACAAGTCATCGGGTGTTCACTACGGAGTAATAACCTGTGAAGGATGCAAGGGTTTCTTCAGAAGATCACAGAGCACAGGTCGGCGTCTTAAGTCTATTCATATAATTATATTATAATACTAATATTATAGTCCTAAGACTATACACTATTTTCGTTTATATGAAATTAACAATAATAGTTTGCGCTCACATTAAACTGGCCTTCATTCCTTCTCAGACCTTTGTTAGATTTGGTAGATTTGCTTTAGCTAAAAGAACAAATATCTATTGTTCTTATCAGATGCTAGTAAAATAAAATACATATTCTTATTTCGGTAACTTAGATAAATGATACTTTTTAAAGAAAATTATATTTTCCATTCATATTTAAAATCACATTTCGGTGTAATTAATTATAGATGTTTCTAGTGGCCATTTCGAAATAAACAGTACGAAAATATCACGAACTAGCAAAGTTCTAATTAAACAAACGACAATTCACACATTGCATTGAATTAAGTTACCCAAACAAAATGTAGGTTATTTCAACACTTGAACTTATAATTATAATCAAAACCAAGTTATAGATAAAAAGTTGAAAAAGCTCATATTTTCCATTTGTCTCTTTTACTCTAAAAATGATAAAAATAATTAAATCTAGTTATTATCTTCAAAAAAAAAGCGTCGAACTCAGTTTCAAACACAACACTCCTTGAAAGGTTACAAATTAAGATTTAAGCTCTAATATTTTGTTTCAATGATCTATTTCAAAGCTGTACTGTTTTGGATTGCTCGTATGATTGTTTAAATTTATTATATAAAATAAACATTAATACGTTAATGAACAGTGAGTGTGCCAATCATCGACATCTATATAAATGGAAAGAGTGCAATCATTTGATATATAAACGATCTTGGCCGATTAGATACCTATACAAACAATTGTAAAAAATAACAGCATTTATCATACGTTGCTCTCGAAACAACTATTTAGAAGGCAAAATGCCTTCTAAATATAGAATACGCTTTACTAACATAATAAAATGGCGCCAAAACCACACGATTTTATACTTTTCGAAAATAATAAAAATCTTTTTTATTCAAATTTATTTTCAAATTAAAAATATAACTTTATGAGTTTTTATTTACTTAGTATTCTTTTTCAGTGGTCAACTACCAATGTCCTCGCAACAAAGCATGTGTAGTCGATCGAGTGAATAGGAACCGATGCCAATACTGTCGCCTACAGAAGTGTCTCAAGCTCGGCATGAGCCGTGACGGTAAGTTTAGCTTTATAACTAATCTAGGCGCCAAAGCCTTGTGAAAGTGGAAAATTATGGTATATAATATGAATATAAAATAATTAATAGCCTAGAGCAGAATCATCAGTTCATTAGTTTTGGTATAGGCTATTTCTATGGAAAAACAACCTATTGCCAACGACTCAGCTTGGATTAGTGGCTCTTAACGACTGCAGATGCAGCAGGGAATAACGGCTTAACGTGCCTTCCGAAGCATGGAGGAACTCCAGATAGTAAGCCACGAGTCATGAAAGATATTGGCGTGCGCATTATTTAAATCATAGTAAAAAATAAACAGGAAGCTTACGCATGTGCCCTTTGCCGCATTTTTCTTTTAGTAGGTAATGATCTGTTGTTTGTATTAATAAGTCATTAGTAGACATTGATTATGTCTTGACGTAAATACAAAATATGTTTTAATATTTTTATTCTGTTAGTCTGTGATACGGCTTTGACTTCTTTCTACCTAAATTAATGACAAATGAAATTCGAATTAAAAAAAATGACTTTAAACTTTTTGTAGCTTTTTTCAAGATAATAATTTACTCTTTCTTGTCGGAGTTTGTTTTGCCATTTCTTCTCAGACAAGACTCCTAAAGTTGGAACTGGTGGTAGATTACGGTAGCCAGGGGTAAACAAATAAGTCAAATTTATTTTTAAAATAATTTAATTAATTTTCTATTGTTGTTGCCATTTCTTTTTTGTATTGTAAATGTGTGCAATACTTTTAATTAAAAAGACGATCAACACCACAGTTTTATGTGAACACGGAATCTGTAAAGGTTCAGAAACGTCAATAAAACTAAATACAAACGCGATGAAACCATTTAAAAGTTATTTCATAAAGTTAGCCATAGATTTAAAATGAGACAAATGTCATAAGCACTTTAGTTCCCACACTATAAACATACCGTAGCGTATCAGTGATAAGAGTACATTGACCCCATCTCCCTTCCTCATAGCACCAAGCGAAAGGTATTTTAATACGCAATTATCGTATATGTGTGCGTCAGTCATAATCTAAACTAGTAAGTACATAAAGTTAACAGCATTCAATCAATAGTAAATTATTTTCTTTATTCATGCTTTTTAGATTTGATGAACTTACAAATAAATATCAATATTTTCGATAAATAAACGATAAAACCGATTAAACAATAAGTATAACCATTTTATGGTTACCTTTACATTCAATGTATGTGGAACATGTTTTCTTAAAAATAATTTAATTTATATTCTATCACTTTATAATTTAAAATGACATAATATAACCACTTCGTATCATATTATAATGATTAGTAAATAAAAAGGACTCTACTATACTCAACTAGCTCATAGCGATCATTGTACAATTATTAGCCGTTATCTTAAACGCCCAGTTTGTAACATTGTCAACGACAGTCGCGTGTGATCGCATAGCGAGACGGCAACCGCTTCGTGTGTGACGTTGCGCAATCATACGTAACACAAAGTGATGGGTATGCATATTCATCGATAATATAGAACGAAGTATGCAAAATTTTAATTCAAACATAGAACGAAAAAGGAAAAGAAGAGTATAAAAATCGAACGGATGTTCAAAAATTTAAATTTGAAAGATAAATTAATAAAATCGGCTGCGGTGAAAATAGAACAAAAAGTGCAATCAATATTTTAAAAATGAAAAGGCTTACAAAATAAAAATATTAATTCAAATAACTGACTGACATCTTATAGAATTTGTGACAAAAAATTAAAGGCTTAAATTTATACTTTGCCGTATTATCTGCTAGGGCTGGAATTTCTCCAAAGCCCGCAACGGAATTCGATGTGATTTACATTGCTTAATAGGAAATTTCTTTGAGAAGTTTTATCAAGGCGCAAAGCCGGCCTTACAGGCCAACAATATCATTATATTGACTTCGATCGACATTGGATTCAATTAAAATGCACTCGTTAGAGTATTAAATGTTGAGTGCATTTTGATTAAATCCAATGTAATAACACAGTAGGCCTGTGAGTACTATATCTGTAAAAAATAATAATTTATCCTTAAATAATAAGTAAACATGTAAGATGCTGCATTAATTATTTTAAATCATTAAACATCATAAACAATAATACAATTCAACTATCGTTAAGAAAATTTTTACATTTAATAATATTTTAACATTACTCACATCTTATTAAAAAGTACATAATATCAATAAAAAATAGCTATCTGTCAAGCTTACAGTTAGATCGTTTAATAACAAGCTGCCGACATTTAAAAATGTCTACTGGCTACACCAAAATTTCGAATACACTTTCATCGTTTAGTTAGACTGTGTTAAAGTAGGTCAGATAATAAATTTTGTATACTGGATACGCCCACATAGTTAATCATGCAGTCGTTTTTAATCAATAAAGAACTTTCAAATTATTAATTAGATGCAGTTAGGATGTTTTATAAATAATAGACCGGCCTTTTTTCAGTCCCAAAATGTTAATAGTGTTATTTAAATATTCGTTAGTATAATTTCCTTTTGTCATTAATTTATTACAAACGGTTGTTGCTATGTTTAGACGTTCTAGATCGGTTACTTCCTGACGCGCCAATTTCCTGAAGTTAATAATTTCATGGAATATTCTGAATAAAGATAGATGTCCTAATTCACGGGTGGGTGTAATAACCGCTTTAGGCTTATAAAAAAAATTGTATTCGATATTAAAATTTCGATTATTGAAAAGAAAAAGTACTAGGCCTTTACTGGCTAGTATTGAATCAAAAGCTCAGTTTTCTATTTATATCAGAAATTCGAATTTTAAATTGGAATTTGCAGATTTTTCTGATTTCTGGGTCAAACTGCTTTGTTAATAGGATATTTGAGCAGGTTACCAGCTACTACAAGGTACCTAGTAACTAAGTTTAAAACGGCCGATATCGATATCGATGTTACAAATCGATTCGCTCTATCGATTGTGCAATACAAGGCGTGGAGCGTAACGCAAACATGCATGTTTTATGCACACGTAACGCTTGAAGATTCATTTGTTTTTTAGATGAGTATTACTTGAAATATTGGATTAATGGTTCACCTAGTTATCAATAAAAATGTCAACTTATCATTGCTTTGTCTATTTTTGTCGTGTAACACGAAAGCGATAATATCGTATTTCCAGAAGTTATTTTCGTGTTAAAACACGGTTCTAATATCACGTATATTTTGAACGGTCATAAATAATTAAATAGGTACAATATAGTACACGCCAACAACGGTAGAGATGTTTAAGTTTGGGAGCGGCGTAGAATAGTGGTTCAAAGGAGCTAAAAAATAATTTATCGACATTTGACCTCTAAATAGGTTAGAGAACAACGAGCTATTCATTCAATAGAACTAAACATAAATGATGTCCTATAAATCTCTCAAGAAAATATTTCCAACGTTCAAATTATAACAAATGGCTCTATTATTTCCTAACAAACAAGGATATTATTGTGTTTCACACACTTTTGTGTAAGAAAACGCCGAACTAGGCCGTTAAACTATGGTTCACTGTTCCAAAAATTGGCAATAAAAGTCGGCCATAATAATAAACACACTTGTTCAAACAAATCGTTAGCGGCTGTAGCTCAGTATATAGCGGCTGGTGATAAAGTTCAATGAACTAATGACAGAGAGAAATTCTAACAATTGTTTTAATTACGAAGAAATAGGTAGGATATTCTAAAAGTTTTTCTCTGTGGTTTTTAAAAGCGCACTAATATAAGTGTTTTGTTTAGCGGCAACGGTATTGTGTATAACACGATGTTACGTATGGAACGTCATATAGTATGTATACGTCAGCCGTCGGTCGCGCAGTTCGTTGTGCCACTAGGCAGTATGCCAACGAACGCACGCACACATAGATAAAGAGAAGGCACACAACAAAAAGTGCACACCACAATCTTTTACGCACACATAGGAGAACAAGAATGTGGTTGTGAAGTATTGAGTAACAGCTAAGCTAGGTGTCATTGAGATTTAATTGTATTGAAGACGAGGCTTACCGATTTTAAATAGGTTTTTTCCGTGTGAATTGTATTGTATAAATTGTATGGGAATGGTGTGATTATTGAATTCCCTTGTTATGTCATTTTAGTAAGCGATAACAGCGCTTAGCGGCGAGTAGTTCAATTAGATTTGGTTATTAAAGAGGTCGTGGCTATTGATAAATAGGTAGAGTCACTGTCCTCTTTGTTTTTTTTTGCAAAACAAGTAATTGATTAAAAAGGGTAATTACATAAATATTGATTATGACTTTTTCACATTTTCAGCTGTCAAATTCGGTCGGATGTCGAAGAAACAACGCGAGAAAGTAGAAGACGAAGTACGGTTTCATCGTGCTCAAATGAGAAACCAGGTAGAAGCAGCTCCAGACTCAGTATACGACGCTCAGCAGCAAACGCCGAGTTCCAGTGATCAATTCCACGGTCATTACAACGGGTAAGTAGCGACACCTGTTGTCAAGTAGCGGAACTATAGACGTGACCTACCTTAGTGCGGTCTGTAACGCAATTTTAAATGACTTTCCTTAAAAGGAATGCGGGCTCGTCTTTTTGTACTGTTTTTCACACATTTCCAAATATATTTGATGTAAAATAACAGCTTTAGTATTCCTTTGGGTTTTTGTATTTATAACCAAGTAAAATGTGTGAAATCCATTTATGAATCTGTGATTTCGAAAACCAAAAAGGATACTAATTATTTTCATTTGTAATCCAATTACTTGAATTTTGTGTATGTGGCATGAGCGGCCTTAGAAAAAAAATACTAATAACAGTCAGAGAATATTGGTTCGAATTCCAAAGCTTATGGTAGGTAGGTATTCAGGCTAGTGTTGGAAAATGAAATCAAAATTGGGTTTTAAAATAGTCCTCTGTATTTATCTGATCATCAAACGGTAACATATACTTAAACCCATATACACCATGTAAATAGCACTGTATTGGATAATAATAAAAAGGATTGTACGATATTGTAGCAGTTTGAATTTAATGGTTTGACTTGTGCTGTAGAAAAATACTTTTCAACTGATTATAATTAAAAATAATATGTATTTAATATCGGAAAAAGATCAAATTAATTGATTTGTAGAATATACTATTTGATTGTGTGACACAATATCAGGTAGGATATCATATTCTCCATTAACTGTTAGTTAGACGAAGCGTCATCACTGAAACCGTACAAATATTCTGTGCCAACATAGTCAAAAGGTGTGGACTAGATGATAGCGTGAAACTTGGCGGATAGCGGATAGTCGCGATTTGTCTTCCTTTACGTTCTCTAGGTAGAGATCCCAAAAATACACGTATATTAGTTGGTATTTTATTACTTAAATATTTTGAAACAGTAAATAAAACGAGTATTTTGCCTTATTTAATTATGGTTTGTAATGGAACGTTCTTCTACAGTCACTTAGATAACAATAATCGTTTTTCAATTCTTTTTTACGGTTTTTTGTAGATTTTCAATCAAAAAGATCAAATCAATTGAGCCCTAGTTAAATTAACTACCTATTAAAATAAAAAGAATTAATAAGTCTGTTTTATTACTGTCTATTTAATCAACTAAGTCATTTATTTAATCCATCGACAAAGAGTTCAGTGTTTTGTATATACTTGAACTGATAGAATCTATCGTCGTGGTTGTCTTGAAGCCCTATTCGCTTATTCAAAGCTATGGCTAAAGCAATACGTATAACTTAACTAAAGCTTGAAATCAGCCTTAGCGTTTAATAATTACGGAATATGCATTTAAATTGTCTGTGTTCTTAAAGTACATAAAAAAAATTTAAAGTTTTCGTAATCAGTACGAATAATTGTTGTGATGATGTCATCATGTAAAGATAAGTGTTAAATCTTCAGTTTTTGATGGGTCCCGTTCCATCCTCCCTATTCCCTTACATCCCTTTTAGAGGAAAGGCCTATACCACAGCCGTGGCAACATTAGGCTGGTGATGGTGATAATAGTACCTACCACTTATATATTGCGTTCGTGACAAGTGTTTTCCGTTACTATCAAAACCAAACCCTTATAGTGTCATGCCATGCCCACGCAGATCTCAAGCCAGACTAAAAGCAATTTGTTTTGATACTATCTTGAGCAATAGCATTTTTTAGTTTACCTTCGTAAACCATTAAGTGTCATCCATTTAAAAGTGACATAAAGAAAATTCGAAAGTCCATTAGATATTTAAAAATATTTCTCCAGTGAAATAAATTGAAAATTGTTGATATAAAGTTTTTGCGAAAAATTATACTTCAATTTCAATTCAATTATTTTTTCGGTACATGTTAACTATATTCGAATTTAATAAGTATGACTGTGAAGTCATTGGTTGAGTTTACAATAATCGTAATTTTATTCTATGTATTTCTTGACTCTATCTTAAGACATCGCGGTTTCCAGTATGATTATTTTGCAGTGTTAGGCGCTCTTTATTAACTCACAGTGTCCCATAGCTGTGCGAACATTCTAGTGTAAGTGTATATAATCCCGCTACGCCGTCGTGCCGTAATACATCAAGTTTATTCGTGTCAGCAGTGCGTTGTCATTAAAGAGAACGGTACGCGAAGAGACATCTCTAACGGTTTATACAAGTAACGCCACCTAGTAACGGGTAGCGGTACAAGTACGTTTCTTGCTCAATAAAACAGATGGAGATACATGTTTTAATCATTAAAGAGATTTTATAGCATTTAATATAAGAAATGCATGGACGTAGCATTTACTATAGACATAAAGAAATGTGTGAAAACAATGTAATCTGATTAATCTTTTATCGAGGAGGAAATATATCTAATGTTAATTTATTAATAACTTGTCTTACAGACTTAAATACAGCCACGCATTTATCATAGAAAAGATAAAAGAGAAAAAAGGAAGCGATGATAATAAGTAATAAGAAAATTATACTTTTTTATTTTTATTTTTAAAATTATTATCATTATCACAATTTGGAAGTAAATATTTGCTCAAAAATTCGTATTTTAAATATATTTAACGCAATAGTGGCATTCAAAGGATGTTTTCATTTCCAGTTACACAAGTTATGGGTCACCTCTTTCATCGTACGGTTACAACAACGCCGGGCCGGCTTTGACGTCAAACATGGGTATACAACCTCAGCCGCCTCCACAACAGCCTTACGACGTATCCGGGGATTATAATGCGGACTCCACGACATATGAACCGAAGCAGACTGGCTTTTTGGACACAGACTTCATAGGTCACGGTAAGTTTCAAATGGAGTCAACCAAGGTATTTGCAGCAGCAATGAAATTGGTTTATGTGACGTAACCAAAACTTGCTTGACAATTACAGTTTTAATAGGTAGTTGCTTCTACTACTAACGTAAAGTTATTGTAAATACCATCATAATTTAGTTAGGAACGGAAACGACATGATTGAAAAAGATACAGTTCAAGTTCCCAAACGTGTCCTTCCTATAGCAAACAAAATGTTTCATTCTTGAAACATTTACAAAATACAAACTCATTAACACTTCTTAAGTATATAGAATTACGTCTTTCGACTTGCTACCACATTCATCTACTCCGTTGTAAATAATATTGATGTGGAATATGTTAGAATTAAATAATAATAATATAGAGCTGGTGGGTGTCATCAACTCGATAGTTGTTCGATCAATCATTAAATAGGAAAGTTACATTAGAGTGGCATTCGCCAATTAAAATACAAATTGTCGGTAGACGAACAACAAAAAGGGACTGCGATCCGACCGTCTGGCTCGACGTCTACCAGCACAGCGACCACGGCAACTACCACCATCAGACAGGCGACAGTAAACGAAATACCGCGGCCTAGAATACAAGAGTTCGATCGCTACGAACAAGAGAGAATACAGTCCCCCGCGTCCATCTCAAGCGGTGTTATCAATATAAAACAGGAAATTAAACCAGAAACGTCAATGGGGGTAGATAATTTGGTTGCCAGTTATGTGGACTCAACAACTTTCCTGCACAGTCCGTCTAATATACAGCACAGTCCAATGGACATACAGAATTCAGTTCTAGTCAGCGGGCAAAGCTCTGTGTCACTGACAAGCGAAGAACTTAGCCCGGATGATCTGACGTCGAGCAGTGGACACGGGCGACTGATGGACCCTCTAAACATGAACATGTCTGGCATGGGAATGGTGAACCCCAATGCGGTTACGAACAGAAGACACCAGGGGTCAAGTCACAGTGGTTCCAGTGACGAGTTGCCGTGTAAGTTGATTGGAATTGGTTAAGTTGGTTGTCCGATTCGGTTGCTATTTTTGTTCAAATGATTTTTAGGTTGGTTTTGTTTAGTCAGCTTACGTATAACGGTTATTTTCTTTGTAGATTTTTTTTAGCTTTTTATGTAGAGTATTTAGATTTTATGAATAATACAACAATTTTTGGAATTATTGTTTATTTTTTAATAAGGATGCATTTTACGTTTTTTCAAGAAAATTCCACTTTTAGACATTTCCAAGTAGTAAGCACTGTCGTGGTAGTACTGAAAAAAAAATATATAATAGTTGGCGTTGAAATACTTAGTTCATTAATATGATCTGAAATAGGAAATTGGAGTAACTAGATATAATTCAAGATAGAGAAGCAAAACATTTAAGAGTAAATTCCGGACACAGGAAAAAGGCCTTACTTAAAAAATAATAACTTGTATTAATCAAGTTCACATGTGATTTAAATACCTATGCATAGTTCCAGTTCTTGGTTTCGATCGCTTGCGTGTATGTTCTTCCGTCATTTTTCTTGGTTTTGCCAAACCGACGTGAGCCGCGGAGGATAATTAATGTTTTTTTTTAACATATGAAGCTCTATTGTCGATGGTTGCATTATCGACGACTCTATCTTCTAGAAACATACGTCGCAGACTGTCTGCCGTATTTATAGTACACTATATTGAAAAACGAAATCAAATATAAGTAAAAACCCAATATTTATGATGTTGCCTGCCAATATCGAACTTCACCGAACGTATAATAGTAAGTATAAGAAGTTTGCCGCCCCTCGAAATAACGTTCTGCTTTGGTATTCTATATAAATACAGCTAAGAACAAGATGATGCCGCAGTATTGGAGGAGATACAGCAATAAAAATTAAACATTTACTACCTCTTAAATAGGGTTACTTTGCATGAGCCTCTATTGCTATACCAACACTGTGTGCAACGTGAGCCATATTGAAGGCAGCGGAGTTTTACTTAACGTTAAAAAAACGCGTATCTATTTCATAGGCCTTTTTCCTGCTATACGAATTGCGTGTGCCATATAAAAATTACATCTTTATTTATTCCAAATGGTTAATATGAAGTATGTGACATAAGATCACATATCAAATAGATTCAATATTCGTGAGATGATTTATAGATTTTCAAATCAGCTGTTGATTCAAAAGTATTAAACAATAAATTATTATTTTTTCTTTATAACAAGCTATATTTCATATGAAATACAGCTCAGTCAAACCTTGACTTGACTTTTACGATTTGTGTGGAACGAACAAGCAGTTGTTGAAATTTTGTTTTTCAAACAAAGACATTAAACTATATAAAGGTACTAGACAGGCCTTGTCCTTTTTTGACTCGAAGGCTCTGTAAGGTGACAAATTAGGCCTTTTATCGTTAGTTAACGAAAAGTATTTTATTAACGTTTTTAGAAAATGTAAAAATACAAAATAACGCCCTCTATTGTCTATTCGCCTGAAAGCTAAAATAAATTATGCATTTTTAGTAATTGTTGTTGCTAGTCAAAGCTAGAGGACGTTGCTGAAGCACAGGACAATACATTTGTATAGGAATCCTCTTGCAGGCCGTTCTATACATCTTTTAAAATCTCTTTGCTTCCAATCTAGCATGACAAACATAAAAAGGGAAAAGTAGAGAATCTTAATGCATGCAAAACCAGTGATACTTACTGTAGGGTCGTTCTTTCGTCTTTTGACATTTTCACCTTTGTTGAATGCTAAAGGTAATGGCATCAGAGGTAGAAATAAACAACACGGCAAGTAGCACGCTAAAACAAAAAAATGGGAAAATTGTGTTATGTTTCAAAAATAAAAGATGACGTTAGTCTTCAAATTTAAGTTTTTTGAATTTTAAAAGAAATTGTCTACAATATTATTCCACACTTATACCGTTACATGAAAATGTACTCGTATATAATTATGATTTAGGTTTATTAGAGTATTGTCAATATCTTTATTACACCAAAACCACTGCTATCTATCAATGTAGAAAAAGAACTGTATTGTTTTTCAATTTGCAGATTCTTACGCACTTTATTATTAAGCTAAATAATAATATACGTACGCCAACAGCCAAATAAGCAAGCTCCTAATAAAAAAGCTGTTAAAGGTTCTATCATATTATTATAAGCGAATCATTGTATTCAGTGAGGTATTTTGTTAAATAAATTTCATTTTGATATTGACAAAATTTATTTACCTGACAGACAAAATCAAAGAGTAAAGTAGGCACTTCAACCAAAGAGTAAATGTATAATTATAATTTAAATTAATTCATTCTGATGAGGACCTAAATTTAGGTCCTAAGTTTTAAGTTTTATGGAGGTACGAGATAAAAAAAGTTTTTGCATACACTTGTAAAAACAGACTAGAATAGGTTAAAATTATTGAAAAACGTATTTGTGACGTAATGCAAATTTTTTTTCTTATAACAATCAATCAAGTTCTTGTTTCAAATGTTGAAACTTCAAATGCATTTATATTTTTGATGTTTATGATTTCATAAGTTTTTAATAAATTAGCACTGTATTCTTTTAATACGCACGTTTAAAATAAGTATTTATTGCTAGTTGTATTTTATTGTTATTGAACATTAATTAGTAAACATACTCTTGAAAATATAGTACAATAATTTGACATTATTCTAATATTAGTATGTTCAAAAAATAAATGACAATTGGATAACAATATTCGAATTAAAAAGTTATTGTTTAAGAAAAACGAATATTATCTAATTATTGTATTTTGTAAATCAAGACATCCCCAGAATATTAAGATTAAACCTCTGCATATATTTGTACACAAGTAGGACTCCAAGTTCTAGTCTTCTGTTTGATTTACGAATGAGAAAAGCTATTTCTTGGGTCCTACCAAGATTTTTTTTAAATAAGCAGCAAATGTCATGGTATATTGATAATACAATAATATTTTTTGAAGTAGCATTTTAAATATTCTTCTGTGCAGAAGAGAGCAAACTAAAGCCAATGGAATGCAACTACCGATACCCTTGAAATGTAGACTTTAATACGTTACATTAAAGTTAACTCGGTAGTACAATTTACCACTTTTGAGACGTATCACGATGGAGCCAGGATTAAACATGGCGCGCACGTAACGCACGCAAAGGCGGAACGCGGAACTATTGACTAAATTTTTTCGCACTATTCTAAACTTAAACTTATACGTAGGCACATACATTGCTGTAACTTATATAAATGGTTCTATTCTACAAACCCATGACATCTCACTTAACAATAGCGTCTGTATCATATTTAAAAACTCATGTTGCCATCTCATACTTTTCCTGATGTTGCTTAGGTTATAATTGTAATATTTTTTTTTCAGCTGAAGGCGATATCAGTAAGGTGTTAGTGAAGAGTCTAGCAGAAGCGCACGCAAACACTAATCCCAAACTGGAGTACATACATGAGATGTTCAGAAAACCACCAGACGTCTCCAAGTAAGTACCAACGTATAATTGCAGTTTTATCATGCGATCATCTTCTGTAAAGAGTGAAGAGAAAATAAAACAAACAATTAAAATATTGACACCGTATAAAAATACAATATAAAAGAATATCTTACAAATAATTTAAATATAACAAAAACATATATATTGGAAACATTCTTTATTTCCATTTTTATTCCCATTCATTCAGATTTCCATACCGTAAAGGTTACCTACTTGCTGGCTACTAGTGCCTAACCGATATCTGTGATGTTGCTTAATGTCTATCTGTATTTTTGGAATCTAAATATAAATGCGAAGTGTGTAGAGAATACCAAGCACTACAAGGCAATAATTTTCGAAACCTAAATATTCATACGAAGTGTGTAGAGAATACCAAGCACTACAAGGCAATACAAACATTTTTCCCTTCTTTGAGATCTCTAGCTCTTTTCATATATATATAGCGCTTGTTTTTATGGCTTTCAACATCACCTTCCAATATAATACGTTTTATTTGATTATTAAAGATGGGTATTATCGTCTCTGCTACTACATTCTTCCATTTTGGCATTATATACCGGTCGAGTCATTATTTCATCTGGCATTCTTTCCACATTTCTTAACTAATGGAACATACCTCTTTTTAATATTTCTTCTAATGTAGAATAATATTTATTTGTTATTTATTTACAGATTGTTATTTTACAATTCAATGACTTACGAGGAGATGTGGTTAGATTGTGCCGACAAACTAACAGGCATGATACAGAACATCATAGAATTCGCCAAACTCATTCCAGGCTTCATGAAGCTATCACAAGACGATCAGATATTACTGCTCAAGTCAGGTAAATATATTGACACAATATTCTTATAGCTGATTTAGGCTATTACAATTTAGAAACAAATGAGAAACATAATAAAATTGAAAGTGCTATTTAAAAATAAAGATAAGATTAGCTCAGTAAAATTCAAGAGAACCTTTGCATATTCTAATAAATATAGCACTTAATATGATATTTTGAGCAAGACATCTTCAGTTTTTCACTTCAGTTGCTGCTCTATCTACTATTAAACAAAATACAAATTATCATTTTTGTTACTTCATATAAACAAATACATATAGGTACATCTAAATAGATGTGTTTCATTTATGTTTAATTTGCAGGTTCGTTCGAGCTAGCTATAGTGCGTCTATCAAGGCTGATCGACATCAACAGGGAACAAGTGTTGTACGGAGATGTTGTGCTGCCAATCCGGGAATGCGTGCATGCACGGTGAGTTATATTTAAAAGTACATAAACTACTTGATGAATTTTCGAGATTGCATTATGTGCAAAAAATTGAAGAGCTTTCAGAATAATTACGAGAGCAAACCTCTAGCTGGAAAATTTCTGAGATACTATTACAATAGAAAATATAATAGGATTTTTTTTTTGTATTTATAACTCGTTAAAGAGTCAGGATAACAGGATAAGGGTACTCAAGTAAATAATATAATATGATAATCATTATTTTCAGTGATCCTCGTGACATGGCTCTCGTCGTGGGTATATTTGACGCAGCGAAAACAATAGCGCGACTGAAATTGACCGAGACTGAACTAGCACTATACCAGAGTTTGGTATTACTTTGGCCAGGTAAGGATATATTTATATTTCCTTATTCTCTGTTATTTTCTAGAGAATATATTTTTGAGGCAAACGAAGAGCTAGAGTGAGAAGTGATGATTTGACATATTAATGCAGAACTATTGCTACGCCTTATAAGTATTTGTACTGAATGAAAGCTTCTGTATTTTCGGTTTTATTTACTCGTAAATAATCGAAACCTATAATTTAAAGAGTAAAGTTTCATTATACATTTGGTTGTTTGTATTTAATAGGCTCTGAGACTACTGTATCGATTTTAAAAAGTCTTTAACTTAAGGGAAGCTATATAACACGGGTGACATAGGCTAAACTATACGCAGGCGAAGTCGCAGGAAAATAGCTAGTTTACATGTAAATTTGAAATGAATGATATATTATTGTACAATCAAATTATACCAGGCCGCTATAAAATATGTTATTGTATAAATTTTCGAATGTAACTATAAAAATTAACCGTACTTTGATTTCGTTTCTGTTTGCGAAAATAAAGAAAAATTCTGTCATATCTTTTTTGTTAATCACAAATTATTCAACAACGTTCGATTAGGTTTGGTTAGAACTGTGGTCAGTCTTTTAAGTCAACTGCAACCAATTAATTAATTCAAGCGACTATTGCAGATATGACAATACGGATCTTCTTTATATTATTTAATTCTTTATTTATTATTATATGAATGGCGTATATTGTTATTTAGAACGGCACGGCGTCCGAGGCAACCCTGAGATCCAGTGCTTATTCAACATGTCGATGGCGGCGATGCGGCACGAAGTGGAACTGAACCACGCCCCGCTCAAGGGTGACGTCACAGTGCTCGACACCCTGCTCGCTAAGATACCCACCTTCAGGTAAATAAAGCACTATTCTCCTCATTAAAAGCGATAGCTATCTCAAAATTCTTAGTATCAATTTTGAGCGATCAAAAGCTATAAGTGTGAAACTAACACTCGTAGGTATCTATTAGTTACTTGAGAATGTGCCACAATTTATGTAGATATTTTCACTAAATTTATATCTATAACTTTTTATTTTATTAATTTGATTTGAACATCTTAGTTTATTTCAGAAAACAATAATAACCAAAATCATTGATAAAATTCGTAAAAAATAAAACAAGAACATTATAAAGAAACATACACAATTATTGTTAAAATCAATAAAACGTTTTTATAGCTATGGCTAAGAGTTATACTCGCTCGTGGCAACAAATCCGCAACAGCCACTCTGTATGTGTTTATACCCCCACAAAATATTCTCAGGAGTTGCAACTCACCATTCCACTCACCACTAAATTCTGTTTTTAGTAAGAGCATCGATTTGAGAACTTATTTCTTCGTTAATTCAAAAGTTTCTAGAATTATTAGTTGGTATTGCTTTGGTGATTGTAATAAATAATATAAATATACGGATGTTTTTTTCTTATTACAGAGAATTGTCGCTGATGCATCTTGAAGCGTTATGTCGCTTCAAAGCGGCCCATCCTCATCATGTATTCCCGGCTCTTTACAAGGAACTGTTTTCTTTAGACAGTGTATTGGATTATACCCACGGATAGACTTGTCGCCAGGAATACAGGAACTCTCATATATATCAGTCTACTCACTCTCGTTCGATAGAGATGTGAAAAGACTTTCTTTGCAAAGACTTGACAGCTACGTATATTAATTTAACCTCTCCCAAAAAGAACCATAGACATTCAGCGACGACATTGTTAACCTATTTATAATTGTATGTATGTACTTTGAGACTGTTATTATGATATTTACGTATAGTACGTACGTACAATATTAATATTTAAAAAAAAGTTTTATTTAATTTCATATTAAACGTCGCGAGTGTATATGGTTTTTTACATTTATTGTCAGATTATATATTTTCGTTTTGTCATAGATGGTTTTAGTTTTTCATAACGATTGTAGTGTTATGAGGGTAAGACCAGACGTCTATTAAAATATAAAAACATGTTAACAGCCAAACTGTTGGCGTGTGTTTATATAAATGAATGCGTAACGTAATATAATTATCATAAATGTATCTAACTTTGAAGAAGGAATAATAATTATTATATAAATATATAATAATAGAAATAGAATTTTTAATAAGAAATAATGGAGTTATAATGAGGTAGTGAGTTTAAATATCACAGTTTCGTTTAAGCGGATCTTTATATAAGTCTTATTATTTTTTAACATTATTTTTTTATAAATGGTCGTAATTTTGTTATTTATTACAAATGATTATATTATTGATGTTTTTCATTCAATGTAGATTATTGTATTAAGTTGTAATATAAGAAAGTAAACGATACTGCCCATACCTATTTTATTTTTCCGTTGGCTTTTTATGATTTTTTTTAAGTGTATAAAGAAAAATAAAGTTCAATGAACTATTTGATAATCCACATTCAAAAGTTACGTAACCCAAAAAAACGAAGTCGGGATGAGTCGAACAATTGTTTCAAAAGAACATTCTATTTTACATTTTTTAGCGAAACGTGAAACAAATAAATTTAAAATGGAAATAAAAAATGATTTTTGTACTGTTTCTTAGCAGGCAATTTGTAGATTACATTTTGTTTTAAATTATGTATTTCTTTTTTTTATATATATAAATATTATGAATTATGAATAAATTTGATCTCATTTTGCACGTTACTTCGCTTTGGTGCCATGTTCGAAATATCTCACACACAATTCTTTTGCATAATATGTAAAAAACGGTACATATGAGAAGCATAATAAATTTTTGATGTTGTATTACTGAAGAACAACAAAGTACATTATACGTAAATTATTATTTTTTTCTAACAGCTTTACGCATTTCTAATGACTGTAGGTAAATTTTATTTTAATTTTTTATTTTTTTTTTAGTTTTTTTTTTACCGAAAATTGCCTGCTGTATTAATTAGAATTATGAGTAACCATAAATTTTTCTAACACTAACGCTAAGTTTTGTCGAATAGCCTTTACTATAGACTGGTTTATATTAAATGTTATAAAAAAGTATAAATCTTAACTCGTATTTTGTAAATAGCTATTAATCATATGTATTTTATATTAAATATCATTATAAGGTTCGATGGGTTATTTTTAATTTTACATTCTATTGAAATAAAAATAAAACACATTTTCCACTGTACAATACGAGGTGAACCTTGTGAGGTTAGGTGAAAAATATTGTTTTTTTTTTCTTTATATATATTATATATTTTTTGTTAAATAAAGCAATCTGTTATTGTCTATATTTGTTTTGTTTTATTTTGTTTGGAATATTCCGTTTTTCCTTTGTTTAATAACGATAGAAATGCACTTTTTCTTTCGCAAAGTATAATAAAATAGGATTATTGATAATATATATAATAGTGAGATTCATTAATAGTATAAAATATACGGGTGGTTCAAATATTTTTTTATAGTTATCATATAATTGTTCCGTTTGTATTATTATAAATTAAAAAACTTTTCCATCAAATTATCGGTTGAATGTAAGCGGTTTCCTAATTCATTTAAAATTATATAAGATAACAATTTATTTGTAGAGAGATGCTTTAGTGTTGAGATTCACATTTTATATTTGCTGATACACGTCTGGTTTTTTCAGAAAATTTTAGTTTTAAATGTAAAATTTAATAATAAATTAGGTACTTTGAGTTCATAAGTTCAATAAAAAGTATTTTTTGAATAAAGATGCAATCATAAAAAATACCACATGCTTTTCAAAAGCAGATGAAAGAATTGTTATTTTTAAATTATTCACATCAGCTAAATTGCTTTGACTGTCAAAATTATTTAGTTATTTTTTATAGAAGATAAGGATTGGGCATTCCCCATTGGGTATTACTTTAATACAATAAAATTTAGAGCACTAAGACTGAAAATCGGCTGAACAAAATTATTCATGCGCCTTTTCCAAAAATAAGTCGTTTTTTATGAATATTGATTTGGGTTCATTTTGAAGACAAATTCCTCTTAAAACTTCAGGCGTTTCGTAGACTATGATATTGTGTTAGAATTATTGACTATTATCATATAAAATAAATCAAGTATTTTGTATTTTTTTAATATTAATTATGATTATTAATTGTATAAAGAAAAGTTATTGTATGTATTTGACACTTTTTTGGATAAAAAATTAATGACTATTCACATAACTGCTTGATAAATATCTGAACCCAAATCAAAATTGTAAAAGATTCGACTTAAAAACCATTATTTTTACAAATCGAGAAAAAAATGATATTTTCAATCAAAAAGCCGTGTCCATTCTATTAGTGATTTTAATGTAGACTTCTATTGGTGCAGAGAATGGTGAGTACTAACGAGATGCGTTTGTCCCTTTCGCACGTGTACGAAGAGAGTGTTGTACAATAGAGATAGATATAGGGTACGTTTAATCGCTGGGTAGTATATGTAGGTATTTCTAAAACTTTTGTACTATGTTTTGCTAAATTTTCACTAAAATTTAAATATAGATTTGGACACGTAACAATTAGTATATTAAAAATTAACATAAAAAAAGTATTTTGGAAAAGCAAGATTGATGGTAAAGGGAATACTTGGTGAATCAGAAAAAAAATTAAATTCGTATGTTTGTGTAAGGAATTTTTATTTACTTTATAAAATTAGCCCTATTTTTTTTATTATTTTAAAAGAGCTTCTATTTTCTAGGATGCCGGATTTACGGGTATCACTACTTATTAATAGAGACATTACAAAAATAATTATTATTATTAAATTTTTTGTGTCTTGTTTTTTCTATAGAATAATTTATATTATATTAATATTAATTTGTTATTGAAAATATTAAGTATTTTTACACATTACCTGATCGTATTATGAAGATTAAACAAATATAAATCATATATATATATCTATATAAAATCAGAATATATGAAAACATATTATATATGTGTAGACCGATCGAATTTTTATTGTCAATCAAATATATTATTTATGAATTTTTATTAAATAAACTCGCCTTCGACTGAAGTTACAAAGATGTCATTATATATAATTCTGTGCTTTTAATTTTCATTTAAATTTATATTAAAAATGTACATAACTATTATAGTAGGTTTCACCTTATATGGCTCATGGTGAATGTTTGTTTATTTGCGCAGAGTAAATGTACCAACTACGATCGAACATATTATCAAAATTATTGTCTTGTTTCAATATACATAGGGTGTAAAATTTCCCGTATTAGGTGTCCATCTTACTCACACTCGGCGTGGGGTCAGGCGATTAGTTTTTGGTGGATCGCCTGATGGTACGATACTAGAACCATTCTCAGTGGCCGATATTTGTCGCGCTTCGAAATTTTGCCTTCTGCGCAGGTACATCAGTGAGCCATATCATTTGCATCTTACTGTATATTACTTCGATTGTGTATTTAAGTTTGGAATTTTCAATCGGTTTATACATAGGCTTTGTTGATTTATAAACACAATACAAAACATTGTACCTTATGTAGATAAGTGGAGTTTGATAACCAATAGTAAATAAATGTTATTGTTTTCATTATTCTCGAATCACTTGCAAGGGGTCGTGTTTCATTTGGAAATTTCCCTTATTCCTAAATAAAATATTGACATAAATTGAATGCGGTGTTCAAGCAACCTTATCTGGACACTGCAAATTAAACAGACACCTATTTAACATGAAACTAAGTGACTGACATTTGCAGATATTGCAAAAAGGAATATGAAACACCAAAACATCTGCTATGTAAATGTGGACAACTGATCCACAAACGAAACAAACATCTGGGTCGACATATAATTAGCCCAGAAGATATAAAATCTCTAAAAGCCAGGAATATTATAGACTTTTTGAAGTCTACCGGGCAAAAGGAGTTACTGTAACTCAATGTAATAGATCTTTAAGGTCGCAGTGACTACAGTTCCTCAGGGAGCTGCATAGCCCCTTAAAATAATAAATAATAATAAGCAACTTTCGCAAAGGCCGGTCATGGGATGGGTGACTAAATATTTATTATCTCTTACTCCGTGTATCGGAAGGTATGTTCAACCGTTGGTCCTGGCTGCATATGCAATCGCACCCACCAATGGGCAAGCTTCGGAAGGCATTTTAAGCATCGAACTCGTCTGGTTGCATTTGCAGTTATTAACACCCACCATTCCGCACTGGGCCCGTGTGGCTACATGATGGGTTATCCATAGATAAGGCTTGTGTCCTAGCAATGGGAAAATATTATAGGCTGATGTTGAAACGAAAACCATAAAGATAAAGCGAAATATCTTTATGATTTCCGTTTATGTCTATCTAAAATGAATATTCTAATTCATTATAGGTAAAAGGGATAATTTAAATAATGTAATCATGCGTGTTTTTTTCCTTATAACGGTAAGAATGATGAATAGAAAACCGGAATATCATGTATATTATTCTGGTAAAATACAGTTGCGCTTTTTTCTAAAAGAATCGAACTCGACATCTAGAACAGAGCTGTCAGATTATAGAGTTCCAATAAAATAAAATCTACTTCAAAGGACAATGGAGGGTTTTACTTATTACCTACGCGGGTATTCTTATTTGTAATTTGTGTTATCATAAGTAGTAGTACAAAATATATATGATTTCATCTTATAAAAGAAAAAGATCATAAGTAGATAAAGGTCTACCGTTATATGGAAAATCAGATTTAATAGATAGAAATTAATATGTTTACTACCTTTGATGTTTATTAGCATTGTAAGTAGGTATGTATGTTCATCCTGTTAGGGGGGGGGTGAGTAAAATATTTTTTAATATCTATAATTTGATGTCTCATCATAGCGATGATATTTTATATTTTGACATTAACAAATATATTAGTAAATTTAAGTTGACAATAGATACTATGTACCTAGCAAAGTTATATAGGACTCGGATAGCTACTCTGTTAGCTTTCAATTTACAAAATTCTGATATAGTTGATATAACAAAGTCTTATTACTGTGTTAGTAATTCTACTAACGTAAATAGTACTATACCCATTTACAACTCAGTTTTAAACTAAAGGGTAAGACAACAGTCAAATCTACTAATTTTAATATTATTCATCAAAATATTCAGGGTTTGACTGGCAAAGATTTAGAATTAAAATTATTTGCAAAAGAACATGATGTTCATATATATTGTTTAACGGAGCATTGGCTGAAGCCTTGTGAAAAGTAATTTCATTTAAAAAAAATTCAAATGCTCAGTTCATATACACGTAGGAGAGCCCAGCAGGGAGGATCATTAATATTTGTAAATAATAATTTCAAGTTTAAGGAGCGTAAAGATATAGTGAATCTCTCAGTGGAACGTCATATTGAGCTATGTTGTGTAGAGCTAAATAGTATGATTGTAGTATGTGTATACCGACCCTCTGATAATGACTATGGAACTTGTGAATCTGTGATGGAAGATGCACTTTGGAAATTACAGACAAAAAACAAATATTTGGTTATATGTAGTGATTTTAATGTAGATCTTCTAGTGAACAGTTCAACATCCGTTCGTTTGCTATCATTATTTAAATGCTTCAAACTTTTTAATGCAAACTGCTTCACTTTTAGGCATTGATCTAGATACACATTTAAACTGGCAATCCCACCTACAAAAGCTGAAAAGTAGATTGTCTTCATTTGTTTATGTTTTACAACACTTGAAAAAAGTTACAGATCTTAAAACCGCACTAACCGCTTATTATGCCTATGCACACTCCAGGCTAGCTTACGGAATTATCTTATGGGGAAATTGTAATGACGTCGAGAGTGTTTTTATTCTGCAAAAAAAGTGCATTAGAATTTTAACTAATATAGATCAGATGGAATCATGTAGACCTCACTTTAAATTACATTGCATACTTACGTTAACCTCAATCTATATCATGGAATGTTGTAAGTTTATACGAAAACATGAAAATTTATACTCACCGGTAAAGTTGGCTAAAAAGAGAAACAATCGCACAGAAAACCAAATTAAAGTACCGTTTTCTAAACTGAAATTAGTCACTACAGGACCTCATTTTATGGCCATCAAAATTTATAATCATATTCCGAATAGCTTAAAGAAAATAAAAGAAACAAAAAAGTTTATTACAGAGCTGAAAATATACTTAATAAGTAAATGTTATTACAATATTGAAGAGTTTCTTAACGAGAAGTAATAAACTGTGCCCAAATAAAAAATAAATAAATAAAAAAATAAAAAGAATAATACAAAAAAAGTATATATGAATAAATGTATCAACTATGTTTAAGGTTTATAAATTGAGTAATTAATAAAATAATTATTAAA